TAAGTTAGTCATGCCGAGAACCATACGTGTTGCCTACCTTCGAACCCTTTCTAGAATGTGTGAGTCCCCTTTTATTCAAGTACTGGCTGCCTGGATACAGTTTTCAGTCTTGACCTCATAAGAGATGTATATAAGGAGGTGAACGTATCTCTGGTGCTTCCAGTAAAGGCTCTGTGAATTGTCCATAAGGATCTGAAACTAAGTGCAGCTACCACGCCACAGTGTGCTGTAGTTTTTGAATCGTGACTTGCTATGACACCTAAATCCAAATGAGTCTGGCTTGCTATTCACGGGTTTGCTGTTCCGCATGCCCCTGGCTTCGTGCCGGACTGTATGTACGCCAGCCTGGTAGACTTGAGCTTGGGTTAAAAGCCTTGAACCTTTAGCACTTCACATCTGGGAAACCGGTTTGTAGGGTTGTTGGAGTACAACTTTGAGCGGTGGACCATTCAGCTCGTGTGTCGATGAAGATTACAGCCAACTGTGTGAATTAATGGGAACTTCATACAGCTTTGAACTTCGACATCTTGAACCCCTATTGTGGCAACGAGATATCCTGTAGCCACGACTGTCCGATGGTCCGCTTTCCATCCGTCACGATGCACTTTAAGTCGTGAATTGGAAGAGTGCCTTCCAGCGTATATATCCGTATATCAACTCGGGTTGCTGGTCAAAAGTTCCGTCCTAATTTGTCCGGCCACAACCTATTCTGGTGTAGGATTTTTGATTGAGTCACTACGGTGGGTTGTGTTTGAGTTGTAGCTTAAAAATCTTTGAGTCCGAACTTAAGGCTGTGGAGACAAGGTTTTGGACAAATTTCAGCGCTTTTCCAATAATAATCTATGTCTTTTTAATCCATTCTTCAAAGAGTCAACAGATAACGCAAAAACGCAACTTCTGGGAGTTAATCTCAAGAGTTAGTGACTTGGTAATTGGACGGGTATCCCACACTCTTACAGTTTCTAGTCGGTTTTTAAACTCTCCTGGTATATCCTCCGAAATGTTACCAGCTGGTTAAAAGGAAAGAAAGATCAGGTCAATAGATACTTCCTAGAATTTAAGACGTCAAGATTTGAAATCTGTCTGTAGTGTGGTAAAGAAAAAATTATATTCTGTTAGATCGCCCATCATGTGATAAGTTTTACATTCCAAAAGTCGCAAATGTCGCCTTCTTCCAAGCTCTTTCCAAAGTATATAAATGTCCTTTGAGACAAGGGATGGCTACCGGAATGTAATTCTCTAGTTTTTACAACACCAAAGGTGCGTGTAAAGTGACAAATGTTTCGTTGATGTTCCTAGTAAAAAATTTCATGTGCTGTTGATAATGGACTTAATATGGCTGCTGAAACTTCTATGCGGCAGTTGTGAACTTAAAGGTGTATACACAGTCACTACTTCTCATAAGTCAAGGACGCTGAGTAATTTTCATACCCTCGCCGTGGGAGTTAACGAGAAGAAAGACGTCTGTCAAGGCATAAACGCCGCCATATATTGCGATGAACTGATGTCTTGCCGGTAGCATTAGGGTCTGTATTACAGGCGCTCACTTGTTCCATTTTCTTGGTAAGGGCTTGCATGTAACAAAGAGCTAGGCTCGTCTTAAAGTAGATGACTACTCCACCACCCACGAGTTAAACCGATTGCAATTTTTACCGGTCTACCCCGTACAAGGTTAAATATAATTGGTTGACTTCGGTGTAGGTGGTTTCAGGTGTTGTCCATGATTCTGTAATGGGAATAAAATTCCTCTAACAGACTGTAGGTATTAACGTATCAAACTGTTTGATTATTCTGGTGTTACTTTGTGCCATCAAAAGAAGCTTGGGGGCGCTCCAGACTTCATACGGTCTGCCAGATATAAATTTGCACTGAGATGGATATTCGGTGCTTCAAGAGAGTCGATTTTGCTCAGAATCGCTTCTCACTCAGATTTCGAATTTGCTGTGTCTTTGAGAAGGCGAGCCGACTTATCACTTTTAGTCGGTCATTGTTGTACGGACCATAGATATTTACGCCTGCTACTAACGTAAGTAGTAGATTGTCTATGAATAGTATGCGTGTAGCTATCCGAATGCTTGGAGATTATTCAAAGAAGTTACTTTCTGAAAGGAAGTAAACAAACCCACTTTTCAGATGACGCTGGCACTTTAATAGGACCTTAATTTGTCGTCTAGAATATGTTGAGATTTCTGGTTTTACATATGTAAAAGATGGGTGAACGTCGCGGTTTTAGTGGGGATGATTTTTCAAATATCTGTGGTTCTAGAATTCTTCATCAGGTATGGGTTCAGATGTTGTGTGAGGTATTATTCCAAGCAGTGTTGGGATATTTTACGTTAAAGATTACTTGAATATTCTCCAAGCTTGTGTCCATTCCGTCCTCATTTCTTTCTGAGTACTTGTTGGGTGACGGTTTCCTCGTCGTTTTGCTGCAATGAGCTTAAGTTGGTTATCCTTTAAGGCCAGGTATCTGATCTCCAGCATCGACAGAAAGCATCCTACTATGAAAGTCTGCTTTCGTAAAACAATTACCAGATCTCTCAACCATGTGGAAATAATGAGTTAGTTTTGCTGTCAGAAATTAAGATCATGTTCCTCGCTGTACGTGCCATACATATCCACATTGACTTCAAAGCAAGGAGGTCTGCCTTGCTTTCTGGAATATGGCTGACCTTGACGCCTTCATCCGCGCTGCTTGTAATTGAAACGGTGCCTTCAAAGTAGGCGAAAAATATGAGATCCTTCTAGTATCTCCTTCTGTTGGTTTTTGGTGCTTATCGTTGTCTGTTAAATAACTTCACCTATATCTTCTTCATGCTTTCATAAGGTCCTGCCTTCTCTACCGATTCTGCCAACTTGCTGTTTTCCACTTGCATATCTACATGTTTTGTGAGACAAAAGATACAAACCCTGATATAACTTCACATTTTCTGGCATCACTTTGTCGTTCCAAAGTACGACAAGGATTCTCACTCCATAAAGTCTTAGATGCAATCCAGTCCACCACGAAATATCCATCTTTAACAGCAAAGACTTTTATAATTCATTAAGATATAAACTTCGGAGATATTTTTAGTAGTGGTAAATTCTTCTTCGACGTTGTTTAGTGGAAGTGGGTGAGTTCAGTGATTGAGAAGTAATTTAAACACATATAACACCACAATTATCTAAAGCGTAGTCTGTGCCACTTAAAATGTCGGACGTGATAATCTATGAAACGTAGCAGATAACTCAGCCCAGTCTCTAAAACTGGTTGTTACGTCTCTTAGTGTATCTTCAAATACTAAGGTTGTACTAGCAAACTTCTGTGTGAATTAGGTAAGCTATTGTTTATCTTGAACTGCTGTACATTTTTTGTTTGAACTTTGTTAACAGTGAACCATTTTGTGTCCAGCCATGGCGGTCTAGTCATTTGAATGCCGGACAACTCCAAATTCGGAGGTCATTACTAAAATTACTTTTTGCGCTTTGTCAAAAAGAAAAATAAAACTCGCAATATCTCTAGAAATTTTAGTTTCAGTACAAATGTGTTTCAGACAGTTTAGTTCTTCTTTGGATTTTGGATTGAAGACTGCTAGCGCGTATCTTTGAAAGTTATCCATACATTAACTGTAACACCGGTCTCAAAACTTCATGCAGTTACTTGCGACTATAGAATGAGGTGATATGGTAGTCTTAAAATCTAATGTAACAGAGTGGAGAGATAAGTTGATAGCTGAAACTTTATCCATGAGGCTAACTGAAAATATATGCAATATGAATGGTGCAACACGTATGTCTCGAAAATTCTAATACCTTAACAACAAATAGGATGGAAGAAAGACGACTATAAAATCAAGTTTCTGAATTTTATTGTTACATGTGGCATGGTTACGAACAGCAGACTGTGTTCGAAATGTTATCCGTTAAATACTGCTACACTGTGCGTTGTACCTGCAACAAATTAAAAAAGTATTCTAAGAATTATGTTAAGAAGTCCTGTTTAGTTATCGTTACCAGTAAAACTCTCAGATTGACGATAGATTTCCTCTATGTTGCTGTTTTCCGGTATGCTTAAGGAAGGCTTTCATTAACAGATCTGAGTGGTGTCTAACCATATCAGAGTTGTGTCCTCATTACCCATTTTATCATGAACTAATGGAATTCAATCAAGACTCGCAGTATACGAGGTGCAAAGTGATGATACAGACATGAAAGCTTCTTGTTATCTGACAAGAACATTAATTGGTAAGCGGTTCCGTACGTTTATTCGCTTTTAGGAGAGATTGCTGAAAGACAGGCGAGCCACTGTCATATATCTCGTGAAATGACCTGCAGTGTGCTACTCTTCTACAAATCAGTTGGAGAAACTGAACTCATTGTTATTATTAAGGGACATTTTTCGGCTATCTGTTGACTCTGTGCTAATTAGTTAAAGGCATGAACTACTCTTTCATTTTATGGATTTAGTTACCGGGTCACTCCTGAAAGCATCTTGCAGATGAGTGTGATGTTTGATGAAACGTCATCAAACATAAAAAAGCTTCTAGCAGGCCTACGTGACTAGGTTTCCTATCTTTACAAGGATGTAGTCAGTTTCAGAAGATCTTTCCTTCTCATCGAGGGTTCAGGGACTAGACCTAGATTCTCAAAGCGTGAACTGATAAACTCAATAAGCTATTTTCCGTGATATGTAAGTGCAGTTGTTGATGGTAACGGGTAGGTGACAGTTCAAATGAAAAGCATAAGGCTAAATACTTCTAAAAAGACAGGTATCTCCCATTTGAGGTATTGTACCAGTGCAGGGTTTCTAAGGATTGTGGTTTTATTCATGAGGGTAGACACATGCAAACACAAGCTCTAGATCCCCAACAAGTCGCATGATATCAGTATGCAATCCTGAATATATAAGATGAAATAAATACATTTTAGCGATTGCTAAGAAATTGGTAAATCAAACCGATGGATTTGTCGTGCATGCTAACTAAATTTGGTAACATGTCCTAACATTTCTAATTAGAAATGTCTCACAGTTATTTTCAAGGTCGTCGTGGGGGCGCGTTGTTAGATTTGCCGCCAATGGGTATAGGTTAGTTTAGTAACAGATTACGCATAAGCCAAACTAACAGAAACTCTAGCCAGTCCAGGAGATGAAAATACTGATGAAGCTACTCAGGCTCAACAAGAGGCCATTGAAAATGATGTAAATCTGTGGAATACTTATATAATAAATAGATGAAATCAACATGTTTGATATCTGCTATTCTTCCCCTTTCCACGCTGGATGAAGATTTCGCTGGCCACACTGTCTATTTAGAAAAATTAAAGGTAGGTTTTAAAGGAATTTTTTGTCCAACATTTAAGCAGTTGGATTATCTTTTTCGCGATCTTCATTTTCCTATATGTGAGGGACAATTTAGGCAGAATGGCATAGTCATTAATATTTTGATAGCATATGAATTAATTTCGACTATTTTTTCCAAATTATCCATTATTTAAGAAAACGTATATTGAATTCGTGTTGTATTTCTGTTGCACCACTAAAGGTCTCACCCCAGTTAAATGACTTCTAAAAATGTGTACATGAACTATCGTAAGTAGACTAGTAAATTTTAACTTGATTTGAACAAGTGTTTTTCGGCAAAATCAAAACGTTTCTGTGGTGCCTATGTAATAACATAATATACCACTCACTGTAAGAGGATGTAGTTGAAAGCAATTATGATTACTGTACGCACTTTTCTCCACTGTTTAAAATCTTTTAAGGAAATTTAACTCCATTGATGTTTTAACTTTACTCTGATTGTACTTATTTAGAAGTAATTGATGTCTATCACGGGGTATATGGTTCTTATCTTATTTCTTTTGAGTTTAGCCTTTCAACTACTTTATCATCTCATTCACAATTTTTTTGTTATACTTCAACTTGATTGGCTATCCACTATTATAGAAACAATTTATTTTATAATCTAAGGATTTTCGGCGTATTCCATAACTCAAACATTTATATCCCTCATCTTTTCAAATTTCGCTTATGCATTTATATGCAGGGTTGTGATTGTCGTCAGCGAAAACTTTATTATTCATTATTCGCAAAACATTTGAATTGGTAATCCAGATTTGTTCCTCACTTATGAGATGTAAAGCCACAAGTAGAAAATTGTAATGGCTGTAATTCTTTGTAATTAAAGTTGGAGGGAATAATAGCTTGTAATTGATATCTTAGCTTAGAAATAGGAAGTGAAGTGGTAGAGCGTGTTGACCGCCTCACTTATTTGGGAAGTTCCTTCAGAAGGCTGATTGCTGACGAAACCCCAGCACGCATACAAAGGGGATGGTGTGCGATTCACCAATTTTCGTCATGCCTTAGGCATGATATCCGCTTGACTATCGATCAAATAACGCGTGTACTACTCAGCAGTTTAATCCGTCCTCTTTTATGGCTGTAAGCGGGACATGACCATTAAAAGTAGAAGACGTGAAAAAGCCGGCTAGCTGTCCTTGATTGTAGGCGTCTACGTCCTATCTCCCATGCTAGGTGGTAGGTATAACAGGGTGAGTAATGATAGACGTTGAGTGTCGGGTAAGGGGGAAAGTCTGTCGACGCGGTTTAGAAGCAGATGCATCGATTGAAATGGTTAGGACATGTGTTATACTTGACTATCCATGGATCGCCCACCTCTACAGACAGTGTTGGCTGATATAGGATCGATCAAGTTGGAAAGGAGCTAGTGGTCGTAACACCAAAACATGGAATCAATCCATGAAATCTTTAATATTTAGTTTAAGCCAACCAGTCACGTATAGAGGTGTAGACTGGCTTCGTGGTTGGGATCCTCAGGATGGTAAGAACCAATGGCTGGAGACAATTGGTGATATGACTGGAAATTGTTCTCAATGGCTGGTGCAGATGCATTAACTCTTTTTTTTTATCTCCCATATCAATTAGACCATATTGTTTTCCCATGTTACTATTTTTTCTCCCCCCCCCTCATTTCTGCTTATTATTGTCCTTTCGAATCTCATATTTTCTCTCTTTTATCTTTGTGTTCTACATGGGATGTGGCAAGTTGAACTGTTGCACTTTTATTCCAGGTTCTATGTTGACTGAATAAGATCTTAATACCGAGTTCTCCATAAACTGTTGTGTTCACCTGAATAAGCCTTAGATGGGAATGGATGACACCAAGTTGCCGATTATTGTTTAATCCTTTAAGGTTATCTTCCCGTTACTTGTAAATAGTCATATTCTATCTGAATAGTGATTAAAGTCGAAGGGAAAAACAGAACGCCACATAGTTCAGGGTAGCTATCTCTTAGTTGTTGTATAAATGTCAGATGTAACACTTTTTAGTATTATTTTCTAAATTTCTCGATACTGTTTATTTATTTACTTCTGTTTTGATAGCTTATGAAACAAAACTATCGTGGAATTCGTCGACTACGACGCGATGGTAATTGTTTCTACCGGGCATTTGGTTTTGCCTATTTAGAATATCTTTTAACTGGAAGACATGTTAAAGAAGCTGCCAGGTTTGTTCAAGTGGTTATATTACTTGTTTATTTTATGTTATATATAAAGAAAATATTGAATATTCCTTAGCTAATAGATTCCGTTATAGTTAAGCTCCGTTGGTTAATATTTTATTTAAATGTTAAGTTTTTAAGTTATCTGACACAAAATTAACTACACTTTTCTCTATTTCTTTCCAAATGAAGTTCTAATATGTCATGTCAGATGTGCTGAAAAAATGACTGCAAATAGAGAACATGTTTTGTTCATGTATTGACATTTACCCCTGCTTAATATGTAACTCGTAAGACAAGTCAAATTATTGATTACATTGTAAAGAACATTATCTTAAGTTGTGTGTGTGTGTGATATCGTAATAAGTGATTCTAGACATGAAATTATTAGCAGAATTGTTATGTTTCGCGATACGTTGAGACTGATGTAAGGACGCCTTTTTAATCAATAAAATATTGGCGTTATTTTACGGCGGTCAATTCTGATTGGTTTATTTCCAGACTGGATATTGACCACCATATCACCTTCCTCTTTAAAAAAAGACGTATTACTTGCGGTCAAAACCTGGAACCACACTGTCTATTTTCTGCACCTGGCTGGCTGACTGAGAAGTCCTGCTACAGGACTGGACTACGTCAACTCCTAGCTTAGTGATATGGAGTGAAGTGATAGAACATGTTGACCACTTCACCTATTTGGGAAGTTGTATCAGCACCAACGGACTGATTGGCAACGAAATCTCAGCACGGATACAAAAAGCTCGAGCTGCTTTCGCTAATTTACGCCATCTGTGGCGTAGGCGTGACATCCGGCTATCAACCAAGGGACGTGTGTACTGCCCAGCAGTTCGCTCCGTCCTTCTCTATGGCTCTGAAACATGGCCAATACAAGTTGAAGACATGAAAATGTTGTCTGCTTTTGACCACAGATGTTTACGATCTCTTTCTCGCGTTAGGTGGTATAATAAGGCAAGTAATGTTGACGTTAGGTGTAGAGTGTTGGGTAAAGACGGAAAATCAATCGAAGAGGCTATAAAGTTACATAGATTGAGATGGCTAGGTCACGTGCTGCGCATGCCTAGCCATCGCCTCCCCCGATGGACGGGCATTACTAGCTGATATAGGTGCAGGTTGGAAAAGAGTAAGTGGTGGCCAAACAAAAACATGACCTCATCAATCCTTGACAGTTAAATTGAGTCAGGTAGGGAGATGCAGACTTCCGGGTTGGGGCCCTCGGGACTCTAAGAATCAATGGCTGGAGACAATAGGTGACATGGCTCAAAATGGTTGTCAATGGCTTACGCAGATGTATTCAGTCTCTGTAATCTTTCATATTCCTTTCTACCATTACTCATTTTGTTTCACTCTTATACTTGTCAAAACTCTATTGATTCTCTTCACTCATTTTCTTGTCTACCTTTGTATGCTATTTGGAACGTGGCAACTCGAACTGCTGCACTTCGATGCCAAGTTCTATGTTGAATCCAGCCAGCCAGCCAGAGAAGTTAGTCTGTTCTGTACTGGAAGGTCTAGAGCATTTGTGGCCTCCTTCCCATCAGAACGTGAGTTATGGCACACTCAAGAACAAATTGTTTTTAGAGATGGGAGAGTTTGGCAATCAAATTGTGGTTATGAAACACCTGGTTCAGGTTTCTTTTTGTTTGGGAAATGGGCGTAGCGTCATCTGGGGGATATGGAGTTTGAGCACTGACGAATCTTTAGCGGGCAGGTGCAGAGTGGCAACAACAACTTCTCGAGGATGGCTGTTGTGAGTGTCGATGCGCATGTTGCTGGTTAAAGCCATCTTTGTGTCCAACATGATTATTGTCCTGGCATCGATGTCGCACATACGGACAAGATTTGACGAAATGTCATGCCCCTCAATTCTAGCAGAATAATGGAGGTTTTATTTTCGGGCGTCGATTGGTATCGCGTATGTAACTGGAATGATGGGAGTTTGAGGTAGAAGGAGCCAGAGGTTTTGAGAGGTCTGGCGAACCGTATTGATTTCTGGACCGCCCTGGTTTTCAGACTGAACTAAACTGGTTGTTTGAGAATATGTGAGCATCCGGTGGTGTGGCTCGTTGGTTTAAAAACTTGACTTTCAGACAGTAAATGATGATGGGTTCGAAATCCACCCCATGTACTTCTTTCTAAGCCACTAGTTAGATCATGAGGTTTCACACAGCACGTGATTGGCTCATAGTTAGATACTTTAAGAAACTGTTCCGAGTAACTTAGCTTTACTATTTAGCTTGAAATCATTGTGATATTTCAAACTGATTAGCAATAATTTAGTTAGAAATCACTTGTCTGGTACAGATTTTATCATATACGAGGCTATAAGCCACACTTATTGTGTTAGGCTTGATGATACAATCTAGTTGTTGTTTGGGTAGAAGTAGGTGTGAAGTGGGACTCAAACTGGTGGTGGTAGTCCATTGACTGGAAGTTGAGCGTGTAAGTCAGTGAGCGAAAACTATACAATACTTCGACCTACATTTTTGTAATCTATTGCTTCACCTTTCTGTGGATTGACTGCATTCTGGTAGGTGAAGTAGGTGGGACAGATGACTAAAAGCCAAGTAATACCATCCACAGGCATTCCTACTATCTTCATTTAAGATTCTTTGATTGATGTGTCTAGTCCTTTGTTTGGTACAGGCTAGATTGTTTCTATCAGTCAGGTTTGTAATGTGGCCATCACCATGCAAGGTGGCTCGTCATCACGATGCACTTTGAAATATTGGCATTAGATGGTTGGAGGCAATCAGCAGGAAGCCTTGAACCAAAGTTGCTTGTTAGTTGGCACTCAACCAGTCAGCAAGGCGTATCTGCAACCTTCAATTGACTCATGTCCCCTCTGAGATTCGAACCTTCATCACCCAGTGCTTCAGCTGGAAACGTTACCACTGCAAAGTTGACTGACAGAATTCAGTCTGCACCAAACAAAGGACTAGACACATCAATCAAAGAATCTTAAATGAAGATAGTAGGAATGCCTGTGAATGGTATTACTTGGCTTTTAGTCATCTCATCTGTCCCACCTACTTCGCCTATCAGAATGCAATCAATCCACAGAAAGGTGAAGCAATAGATTACAGAAATGTAGGTCGAAGTATTGTATAGTTTTCGCTCACTGACTTACACGCTCAATTTCCAGTCAATGGACTACCACCACCAGTTCAAGTCCCACTTCACACCTACTTCTACCCAGACAACAACTAGATTGTATCATCAGGCCTAACACAATAAGTGTGGCTTATAGCCTTATACATGATAAAATCTCTACCAGACAAGTAATTTCTAACTAAATTAATGCTAATCAGTTTGAAATATTACAATGATTTTAAGCTAAATAGAAAACAATGTTACTCGGAACAGTTTCTTAAGGTATCTAACTATGAGCCAATCACGTGCTGTGTGAAACCTCATGATGTAATTAGTGGCTTAGAAAGAAGTACATGGGGTGGACTTCGAACCCATCATCGTATATATACATATATATATATAATTATTATTGTATCCTTTAATTCCTAGAGGAACATAGGGCTTCAGCCGTGCGTCTCCATTGCGTTCGGTTCTCTGCTAGAGTCTTCACCTGGCTCCATGTATGCCCACACGTTTTCATCTCCTCTTCACATGACCTCCTCCAAGTCACCCTTGCACTGACGACCAACTCGCCGCTTCCCTTTCGGGTTCCACTCGAGCAATGGCTTGTCTAGTGATGTCACTTGATGGTTTCCTCAGAGTATGGCCAATCCATCTTCATTTCTTCCTACCTACTTGTTCCACAATCAGTTACTGGTTGGTTCGCTCCCAAAGATCCCTGTTGCTGATCTTTTCTGGCCAGCCATCTGATCTTGAGTATTGAGCGAAGACAACTGTTAATGAAGGTTTGTAGTTTGTTTGAGATGCTCTTTGTGACACGCCAAGTCTCTGATCCGTATAGTGAGTAGCACTGACTTCACATTGGAGTTGAAAATCCGGATCTTATTTTTGATGCTGAGTGTTGTTGACCTCCACACAGACTTGAGAGTAGTGAACGCTTGTCTTGCTTTTCCGATTCTTGCTTTGATATCCTCGTCAGTTCCGTTCGCCTGTAGTTGAAACGATGCTTCTCAGGTTAGTAGGTAAAAGAGGTTGCTTCTTGCAGACTCCTCTGATTTATGCTGATTGTTGTCTGTTGTTGCTGCTGTTGGTGGTGTTGCCCAGGAATCTTCATCACCTCTGTTTTCTCTACGTTCACCTGAAGTGAGGTCCTATCTATGATGCTTCTTCTGCTAACTTGTTGCTTTTCGCTTGCATGTCTTCCAGTTTTTGGGAAATCAGATATATATCATCAGCGAAGTCCAGATCCTCCAAGTTTTTTGTGTGAGTCCATTTTATGCCTGTTTCCTCATTGCCCACTGTTTGTCGCATTATCCAGTCTACTGCAATCGGGAGAATCATTGGCGATAGTAGGCAGCCTTGTCTTACTCCTGTCCTCACTTCGAAGGATTCCGTAAGTTTCCCATTGTGGATCACTTGGCATGCAGCATTGTCGTATAGCTGTTGGATGAAATGTATAATTGTCGGTGGCACCCCGTAGTAGCGAAGTAGTTTCCAAATCACCTCTCGATCGACGCTGTCAAAGTCCTTTTCAAAGTCGATGAAGTTGAGATAGATAGGTGACTGCCATTCCAGGCTTTGTTCAATGATGATCCGTAATGTGGCGATCTGATCAATGCATGACTTGTTTCTCCTGAATCCAGCCTGTTCCAGTCGAAATTTTTCATCCAGGGCATGTTTGATTGTCTCCAGGATGATGCGGCTTAGTATTTTGCTTGGGATGGACAGGAGCATAATTCCGCGCCAGTTCTTGCATTGACTTAAGTCTCCTTTCTTTGGTAGTTTGAATAAGTATCCTTTCTTCCAATCTTCAGGTACTTTGCCTTCTTTCCACACCTTCTCCAGTAGTGGCGTCATCAAGTCCGCTGTTGTTTCTGGGTCCATTTTCAACGCTATTCCAGTTAGTTTATATATATATATATATATATATATATATATATATATATATAAACTAACTGGAATAATATGATCGCTCACTGCGATTAAAATCAGTATAGCTACTATTTGAGTAAATCATTTTGATGTTCAGTAAAAATATGAGTAATTCTGTTATAAAAGCTGTGAATAACACAGAGAGAAATGTTCGGAAAAATCTTGTTGGCCATGGAGTGTGCGTGAACGCACCAATGAATGACCTTGAACGCATACTATTCATTGGATTACGGGTCCTACCGTTAATTACAACCCCAGTTCGAACGGTTTGCACGAACTGAAGTACAAATTTCATCCTAATATCTTTTTAAGTACTGTTTTGAACTATAGGTTGGTAGTATTAGGGTTGGGATCACGGACTAGATTTGGAAGGTTCGAGTCAAGGGTTTGGTTGAGGATTAGAGTAAGAATAAGTGGTTAGGGTTAGGATTAGCGTTAAGTTTAAGGCAAGGATTAGGGCTGAAGTCGCTGTTAAGTTGTTTTGTTATTATTATTATCTGCATTTTTCCTGTCAATAAATAAATGGGGGGGGGGCGGAAATGGATGATACTGCTTATATGGGTGTGAAACCGTTTTGATAGATGTGAAACTTGAAAACAAATACCTTTCATTGTAATTGGGAAATATTTTTGAGTTACGTCAGGGCGAAATATGGTCTTTAATTTGTTATATTATTATTATTTTGTGTATTTTTCTTCTAAATAAATGATTTTTTTATTCAAGTGTTGGTTTTCAAGGATTCCATCATGAGCTGACATCCGTTAGAGGACTATCGGAAAACCTGGGAGTACTGGACGGCTCTTTTGTCAGTCTAGTTTTGGTCTCTTCAACAGTACGCACCCACTGCCAGGGTTCGAACCTAGACGTAGACCATTAAGCCACTGAGACCCGATTCAATGGTCTATGAACTCCAACTTTTGCCAATTCATGATATGGCGCCACCACTAGCGAATGTCATCCATGGCCAGTATTTGTCCTCATACCCAATCTGCTGTATCCCACTGGTCACGAGCTCGTCTTGTAACTAGAAAGTCGTGGGTTCGAATGTCAGTGGGTGCGCACTGATGAGTTCCAAACTAGGGCGAAATAGCTATCCAGTACTCCCAGGTTTTCCAACGGTCTTCCGACCGACGTCAGTTCATGATGGAATCCTGAAACGGTTTTCTGATATAAAATACACAGGTCTTTCCCACTGGTTACCTCAAGGTTATCGATGCGTTCTCACTCTCTTGTCGCTATTGTTTATGTTCACCGTCGTGTTTTGGTTTTATAAATACATTGGCATTATTTTAATTCAGTTTATAATAGTTATTTTTATGTTTGAGTGGAAATTAACAATCGTCAAAAGCGTCATTTGACCATTCAAGTTATTTTCAAGAATGAGGTTGTAAGGATTAGATTTGTTTCAAGTTTGGCCACGGATTGATATCATTGTTAGAGACAGCTAGCTGTTTCGTCGTGGTTTGGGACTCGTCGAGAGTACGCACCCACTGCCAGGGTTCGAACCCAGGACCATCCGGCTACAAGGCAAGCTCATAGACCATTCAACCACTAGGGTACCAATCAGTGGCCAGCGCATGGATTCTAACTTCGACCAGTGTCGCCAATGTCATCCGCGGAGAGTATTTGTGCTCAATCCCTACCGGATGGACTCCACTGGTGATGACTTCATCCCCTTGATTTTCTAATGATTCTCTAACTGATTATCAAGCCGTGCTCAAACTTCAAACAAATCAAACTGACTCTTTAAAATTAGTCTGACGAAGTTGCTTTCTGTTCCTAGTGGAACAGAAGACTTCAACAGCACATCTCCATTCCACTCTGTTTTCTTTTTCTTGCAGTCCTTTTAAGCTGACTTGAAAATTGCCAGCCACAAGCTTCCATTTCCCCTCCACATGATCTCCTCTATATCACCCTTGGACCCATGCCCAACTAATCGCCACCTATTCGGGTTCCACTTGATCGATAGCCTGGCTCATGATATCATCTAGCATGAACTCTGGCATCTCGAGCCATGGATGTATGTTGTGTTTCGGAGACACGCATCCAAGACCCGAGTGTGGTCATTCACTTAACCTCACTCGGTCAATAAGGTGAATCTACGAAATTCACTTTCAGGGTGTCAGGAGACCCTTCAGCGAGCTCGCGAGGGCTCTCAGGTGTAAGGATAACACTAAGTGTTAGTGAGGAAAAATCACTTCGCGACTGGATCCCAGTAGATAGTCGTATGTGTGCAGTCCGTCTGAATGGGTCCGTTAAAAGAAGGAAAGACGGTGCTACCCGTCGTTGTCTTTTCGTAGTCTCCGCTTACGCCCCAACAGACTGCAGTTCGGATGAACTAAAGAATGACTTCTACCTAGTCATCGCCTTCCTCGACGGGCAATGTTAGCTGACATAGGATCAGGCTAGAAAAGAGCTAGCCGTGGTCAAACCAAAACATGGCTTCACCAGTCAATGAAATCTACAACAGTTTGTTTAAGCCACGTAGGGAGGTGTAGACTTCCTGGTTGAGGTCCTCGGAACGGTAAAAGCCAATGGTTGGAAACAATTGGTGATATGGCTCAAAATCCTCGTGTTCAATGGCGCAGATGCATCCACTCCTTGTGACTTATGATTTCCAATGAAACTGTTTTGTTCTTCGTTATTACTATTCCTTTGTCTCACACCTCTGTTTACCGTCTATATTATGGATTTCTTTTACTTTCTTCTCTTGTTTTGTGTGCTACATGGAGGGAGTGTGGCGACTTGAACTGGCGCACATATGTGGAAAGTTCTATGTCGAAAACAGACAGACAGACTCATGATGTCATCACTACATCGTCTTCTTAGCGTATGCCCAATCCATCTCCACTTGCCTTTTGAATATTTGTTTGGTAATAGGTTCTGAGTTGATTCGTTCCCAGAGTTCCTTGTCGGTTATCCTTGCCATCTATCTGATCTTCAATATGAAGCCAGTCGAGGTGGCAGTTGTTGATGAAAGTCTGTAGAGTAGGCTTTGACATGCCAAGCCCCTGAAATGTATGGAAGCATTGATTTGACATTGGTGTTGGGAATTGGGATTTTTGTACTTATATATACATATAATCATATCTTAAATTTATTTTGCGAATAGCTTCTTCTCAACATATTAGAACACGACAAAGTGGTAACTGTAAGAAAGGTAAAAGAAACATTTCTGCGAGAGTATACATGTGGTGGTTTACACTCTGTTCACCCATTAGAGATCTTCTTTGTATCAGACTAAGAGGCATATTTATTACATGAAGACTTACCATACTACCTACCCATTTTGGTCCAACTAAAGTCGATAGGATGGCGTCGGTGGCATAGCGTTAGGACGCTAGCCGACCATGCACATGGTTCGGAGCTCGATCCCCGGCCGACGCACTGCTTTACCTCGCTAAGCCAGAAATAATGCTGGTGAAGAGGAAAGGTTGGGCATGAGGCTAGCAACCTTATCCTGTAAAATAATAAGCACTGCTACAGAAACTTCAAGCCACTAGCTTGAAGCCCTATGTTCCTCTGGGGAACGTGAAGGAAAGAAAAAGTCGATAGGATGGGACTCGAACGCAAGACTTCAGTGATTGAGCTGCTAAGTACCTAAAACAATGGTACCCCCACACCTCTAAAATACTAATATTTTTAAATTAGATTTAATTTTTAGTTTTTTATCTATATATATCTCTCTCTCTATGTCTCATGTTTCTATTTTTAGATTCAAGAAAAAATGTGATGAATGTAAAGATACACTGATTGCAAATGGTTATACACAATTTACTGTAGAAGATTTCCATGAACAGGTAAACAGACAATTGATCAATAATCTTTTATGAATATAAAAACAAATATAATAGTTCAGCAAAGAGTCTCTTCTCGGCGGTGAAATCATTCACTTAACTGTACAATCGCATTTATATGCAGTTATTTTATGAGTGTGTGTACATTGTTTTTTGATTCCTACTGGTCAATATGAGTGGTAGTTGGATGCCATAACTCACTAAGACACTGGTAAAATACTGCAGATTTTCCTGAACTCCTTGATGAGCAACAGTCTTCGAATGTTTGGCATGTGATTCGCTCCCGCCAAATGTAAGATGATGTTACAGGACTGGACTACATTGGTTTCTGGCTTAGAAATAAGGAGTGAAGTGGTAGAGCACGTTGGCCGCTTCACTTATTTGGGAAGTTGCATCAGCCAGCCCCAACGGGTTGATCGCTGACGGAATCTCAGCATTGAAACAGAAGGCTTGTTTCGCATATGCCAGTTTACGCCGTCTCCCGCTTAATAGATGTGATATCGGCTGGATATCGACCAAGGGACGTGTGTACTGTTCAGCAGAAGTTCGCTCCGTCCTCCTTTATGGCTGTGAGTGAGGCCTGACCATTGAGAGTGGAAGACGTGAAAAGCCTGACCGGCTAGCTGTCTTTGATCATAGGTGCCTGCGTTCTATCTCCCGTGTGAAGTGGTATAATAGGATGAGCAATATTGAGTTTGGGCATCGGTCGAGTGCTAGGTAAGGAGGGGAAATCAATCGACGAGGCTGTGAAGCAGCTGCATGTATTGAGATGGTTAGGACATGTGTTACGCACGCATGCCTTAGCTAACATAGGATCAGGCTGGAAAAGAGCTGGCGGCGGTCAAACCAAAACATAGCACCAGTCAATGAAATCCACAACAGTTAGTTTAAGCCACGTAGGAAGGTATAGACTTCCTGGTTGGGCTCCTCAGGACGGTAAAAACCAGTGGCTGAAGACAATCGGTGATATATCTCAAAATCGTTCTCAATGGCTGATGAAGATGCATCCACTCCTTGTGACTTATAATTTCCAGTGACAATATATTGTTCTTCATTATACCTATTCCTTTTTTCTCATATCCCTATCTACTGTCTCTATTATGCATTTCTTCTCTTGATTTGTGTGCTACATGGAGGGAGTGTGGCGACTTGAACTGCCGCACATATGCGCAAAGTTCTATGTCGAAAACAGACAGAAAGACAGACCATCACTCACATTACCCAATAGGGCGTACTGGTGATATCAAAACTAATCTAAAAAACTGGGCAACCATTTCCCTCGTTTAGAGCAGACCCCATTGGCTGTGCATTCGGTCTAATTCAGCCACGACAGGCGATTAATTTCAAACCAATCGAGTTGTGGCCAACTAGCTACTAGCAAGAACTTTCTGTTTAAAAAAAAATTACATTTACGTTTCCAGGGAAACACAGGGCCTCCAGCTTGAACTTTGAAGTTTTTGTATAACATTTTCTGCTATTTTTACGGAATGGGGTCTTTCGCCTCATGCCAAACCTTCCTCTTTTCACCGGGCTTATTTCCCAGTGAATAGGAGTTAAGTAGTGCGCCGATCAGGGATCGGATCCCAAACCATGTGAGCGGCGTCGTTGACGAGTATTTATTCTCTCACTGCACCACTGACGTACAACTTGGACGAACTAGTAATGCATGAAGTTGAATTCTAGTGTGGTAGTTGTGTTCTCTGAGCTGGATGGTTTTAGTTGTGAAGCTTTCACTGTCTTACTAGGCAACAGCCTCAGTGTCCATGCTTCAATTTAAAGTCGAATCAAATTCGTAATTTGGAAACTACACACACACACGCACACACACTGACAGATCGATGCGAGATGTCAGCACAGTTTTCTTTACAAGACTGAAGTCAATTCAGATCATCACAGATAATATATGATCTATTTGACATCATAAATAGGCAGTCAAAGAAACAAGCAAAAATGCATGAGGCTATATACTACTGATTGATTGATATAAGTAGTAATTGGATACCACTCGCATTAATCAGTAGTACGTGAAACCAGCGTGTGCTACTGACAAGCCTGTATAAAGTAGTATATTGTTTGTAAAGTCTTATTGAATGCTAGGGCGTGGTTTCGATCCACAGACACCCCCACTGGGTTATGAGCCCAGCATGATCTCTTTCTTACTTTCTAATATATTATTTCACACAAGAATCTTTCAATTCTTCTCTTCTCAACTTATAATCTATCGCTGTGCTATTCAGTATTTTTGTAGGAGAAGAAATCACCCACAGTATGTACTACTTACAAAGTCTCATAAGTAGTACATGCCTTATGTGTATATAAATGTATATATCTTTAATAGATCTTTTTTTTTTCTTTACTCTTTTTCATATAATTCTAGTTTGTTGGTATGGTTGATCGATTTACAGTGGATGGTGGAACACTAGAAGAACTGGAAGAAGTGTTCAATGATCAAGCGTATTCAGATTATTATGTTGTATTCTTAAGGTATATCCTCTTATTTGGGTTAATTTTTTCTCTTTCTTTATTTGATATTACCTATCCTTTAAAATTCATTAGGAAGATCACTAAAGGCCAAAAAGAAAATAAAAATAATCGTGAAACTAGTAATAATAACATAAATAAGAGAGAATATAAGTCATCTACAGTTATACCATATAAAGAGGGGACATCTGAAACCCTACGTAGGATTCTAAATAAAGCAGGAATTAGGGTGGCATTTGAACCAACAAACTCACTTAGGGACAAGCTCTGTAGGTTAAAGGACCCAGTGGACCCAATTAGACAAAATAATATAATTTATATAATACTCTGCAATGACTGTGAGTTAAGTCAACTACATAGGTCAAACTAGTAGGTCAGGGGTAGTCAGATTGTCAGAACATAAGAATTTAGCTAAGGTAAGAATGGTTGACCCAGAGAAGATAAGTAATTTAGAAAAAAGCTCAGCAATTGCAACGCATGCATTAACACAGAACCACACAATAGAGTGGGAGAGGGTTAAAATTCTAGAAAGTTATCTAGGTAGGTGGAGATAGAGACTGGTGGATTACTGAATCCTTGTTCATCGAATCTACACCCAACACATGCAATAGGAATGATTCATCACTCATACCCGAAATATGGGAAATATTACTACCAATCAAATCAAGTGAAAAACAATGGAACTACATAAATGAAGTCGTGTGATTACCTTGATATGATTATGAGCAATAAATTGTGCTCAAAACGTCATCAGTAAACATTACTGTATAACACTGTGAGGCTTTATCAAAACAAAATTTACCCATAATGGAGTTACACTCTACCACAGTGCACAAGTTTTATTCTTACATCAATTGATATTACCCACTTGGTTGTATTATGCGTCGGTAGTTGAGTGATAAATTGCTTGCCAGACAGATGTGGAAGGTATGGGGTCAACTTTCAGATGATCCACTCCTTAACCTCACCTAGTGTGTTTGTGTGTGGATGGTAGTCGATAGCGAGCCCTGAAAAGAGGAAAGGTTGGATGTGAGGTTAGCAACATCACAGCTACTGAAACCTCAAAACTTGAATGATGATCAGGGGAGGCCTTTGTGTGTTTTTGGAAGTGTGCGGGCGGTTGTTACTTCCCGGCTGCCCCCCCCTACGCTGTGGAAGTTGATTTATTCTTGCATGACCTCAGAGCCCAGGGGACAACTGCTTGATGTTGGTGGTCACACACAGCCTGTTTAAACTGATTTTTAGGTTTGGTTCCGTATTAACAAACTTACCGTCGGTTACGGACCACCGTAGGGTACAATTTTTAGGGTCGACCTTTTCTAACCGCCTTTCGCCAGAGTGGAGAAACAGTATAGCTGGCTGGCATGCTGGTCATCTAAGGGAAACACCTCACTGCTGTTACATCTCTGTTCCCTGACAGTCAGACTTTTTCCACAGACCCCGAGCATAATGTTAGAAAATCATACACTTTTCCGGTAACTGCTTTTAGTCTACTCTCTATCCTGATAGTTGTCCTAGCATGGTAGGACCTGCAGGAACATTAGTTCCAACCAATGTAGTTTGTTGGGTGATTGTGATATGCAGGCCTAACCACCATGTCAAGGTAGCAGCTATCGGGGTTGTGAAGTTATATCGATTAAGGTTGTTAGGATCTGTGTTACGCATTCCTAGCCATTGCCTTCCTCTACCGACCGGCAATGTTACCTGATATAGAATAGATGAGGTTGGAGAAGAGATAGTGGTGGTCAAACCAAAACCGACAAGTCTTCATCAGTCAATGAAATCCATAACAGTTAGTTTGAGCCACATCAGGAGATATAGACTGTTTGGTTGAGGTCCTCGGAATGGTAAGAACCAATGATGACTGGAAACAGTTGGTGGTGTGGCTAGAAATCGTTGACAAGAGGCGCAGATACTGCCTTCACTCTTTGTGATGATTTGTCATATTCAATAAAACTCTACTGTTCTTCCATAGTATTATTCTTTCTCCCTCACTTCTGTTTATTATCCCTTTTTTGTTGATTGTCCCTTTACTCTGTTCTGTTGCTTTGTGCAATACAAGGAGGGAGAGTGGCTGTTATGATGCAAGATCTTTTATCACGAGGTCACTGCCTAACTACTGACCAGTGCCCACTTAACTGGTAAAGCAGAACACGCGAGAATCAGCGGTAAAACCAGGTTCATTTATTAAGACAAAAGTGACTGTATTTATACAGAAAATAAGGTAGACTGGAAATCAACCAATCCGGTTTTGAGAGTTTGAATTGTGCAAGCGTCCAATCAGAAGCAGGAACAATTGCATGTCAACGACTTGTTAATAACGCGATAATAACTTGACTGATGACCTGATAATTGCATGTGTTTTGCCTCTTCCTAACACCTCCCCTTGTAAGATAGGGCTACCGGTAGCTTTTGTATCGTGGAATCACTTGTAGGTACTTTGGCGGTCTTGGTTGTCGTTGTGATCTCCTTGGCTGCTGGGACACTTTGCCTTTGTTTCGACTATTTTGGCCATGTGACGTTTTCGGATCCGTCGTATCTATCAATAGCTCAAATTGTACGTCGGCGGACTTGGAATCGTTCAATTGTTGACCAACTAGTCTATTTCTTATTTGATTGGCATGCCTGACCCAAATAAGGTCTCCAACATTGACCTTGTAAATGACTTGGCCTTTTCTTCCAACGATCACTCCAGAAACCCATGGGCGATCTCTCCGTATGTAATCACGAACCAGTACCGACTGACTGACCATGAAACTTCTTTGCTTGGTGCCATGACGTCTATTGAACCAAAATTCACTATTTCGATCACATTTGCTCCGTCTTGATGGGATCGGGATAATTGCATCCAAAGTAGTACGTAATCTTCTTCCAAACATAACTTCTGCCCAAATCAAACAGTGGCAGCTCGAACTGCTGCACTCCCGTGCACTGAAACCTGGTCTGAAGATGTTGTCTAGAATGACAACGAAAGCTTCGCAATTAAATCAACCAGCTCCTCAGAGAACACAAATAATGCAAAGTTCTATGTTGAAACCAGTCAGTCCATGCTTGAAGCCATACGTCCCACTTGTAATGTGAAGAATGATGGCAGTTAGCCTTTCTACCTGGAACACGCATTTTGTGTTGTATATGGGGACTTTTCAGTTGTGTTTATACTCGTATACTGAGAGAGAGAGAGATGATGTTCTCGTTGAGACTCGTTTTAAATGCCATGGCGTTAACCAGTGGGTTCATGAGAACTACTTCTTGTACATTTTTTATCAGTAGTTATTTCCGTAGGTTTATTTTAATTTCTTGCGTGATTTATAGCAGACCTGAATGCTCTGTGTGCATTGACATATGGGCCCTTCTATGATGTTCTGATTGTCATTTCTGATGTAATTTCTTTGCTCACTAAGTAGTGACTTATATCATGCATGCGTATAGGCCTTGGCAGCCACCCAACATGGTGGCTGGCCATCATGATGCACTCCGAATTGTTGTCACTGGACGGTTGAAGGTAATCCACAGGTTTCGTGCTTTTCGTCACTCATCAGTCAACAAAGCGCGTCTACAGTCTTGACGGATCTCATATCCCTTCTGAGATTTGGACCTCGGTCGTGCAGTAGCACAGTCAAAGCTATTCAGGCTAGCACTAGAATTTAAGATATCCTCTTCGTCCTTATCTGGGACTCGTCAGTTTGATGAAAAATTCTAATCAATAATAAATTATGTTTCAGTTGTTACTTTTTCGTTACGAACAACCAACATCAGTTAGAGAGGTCCATGAAAGCCAGGGATCGAAACCGGGACTTTTAGGTTACGAGATTAAGCTTGTTGATCATGGAACCAATCGGGCTGGGATTCAATGACAATTGATTTTTAACTTTGTCAACTTGTGGCATACAATGCTGCCCTCACCAATGCTTTCGATGAATAGTGTCCACTTTGCCTAGACATGGAGTGGATCCCACTGGTGACGACTTCCCACTGCCAGTAGCTTCAAGAAATCCATCTAGTAACCATCAGTGATCTGGTGATTGCTATTCAGATTATAAGATAATCTGTGTTATGAATAAAAGTCAAGATTTTAGAATTATATTGAATTTAGATTTCAAGCTTCTCAACATATATTGGGCAGTTTAAATTATTAACTAACAACTTCAGTCGGGGTATTAGTCCATATAGTAGAGTGCTCGCTTAGCGCATGCGAGAGTTACTGGGATCGATGCCCAGGTACTCCGACTCATCTTGTCTCCATCCTCGAGGCGATGACAAGCATTATCGTCGATGGCTTAGCGGTAGAACACTCACCAACCACGCCTCATGTGGTTCGGAGTTCGATCCCCGGCCGACGAGGCACTTATTTACCTCTCGCTAAGCCAGCAATAAAACCGGTAAAGAGGAAAGGCTGGGTATGGGGCTAACGACCTCATCCTGTAAAAATAAACGCCACTGCTATCGAAACTTCAAGAGAAGCTCTAGGTTGAAGCCCTATGTTCCACTGGGCGGGGGGGGTAAAGGAATAAAATAATAATAAAAATCAATAACTTCAGTTATAGAACCATTGAAAACCTGGGATTGAATACTGAACAGGTGTTTTGTCACCCCCCTCCTATTGTAGGACTATTCAGTATTGCGCACTCAGGACGTTCAGTTTACGATGTCTGATTGCAAGCGGTTCTCTAAATTGAAATCAATAAAGTCTCTACACAAAACACCCCTTTAAAAGGGTTTTGTTTAACTGGTTGCATTGCCTTTTCATGAATTATGTGAGTGTTGTTAATTTCCTTCTTAGTAATGACAAAGTTTAATACAACCCAGTTAATTAACAAAACATTCAAAGATCAAATAGTAATATTGTTTATTAGATTGGAGCGTTGTTCAAATAAACTACACGTGTTGTTTTGAGTGGTTTGTTACAGACTGAATTCTGTTGTCAGGCAAGTTTACAATGTAGTGACCAAGCTCTAGAAGTGTCTTGCCACCACGGTGCATTCCGAAATGATGTTATAGATGGTTGGAGGTTATTCACGGGCCCATCTACTGAACATCCAACACCTCCCTGAATGGGATATTGACACAGGTCCTTCGTCCCTAACTAAGGTTACTAAACCTGTGTCACTAGTCTGACATGAGGCAAAGCTGCGGGACTCGATGGATTGACTTCAGAGGTGTTTAAGTATGGTGGAGACAGTTTACTGTCTGCGTTAACTGAGGTATTAGGCAGCGTCTGGGAATCAAAGGAAGTCCCGTCGAGTTGGTATAAGTCATTGATTATCCCGATATACAAGAAGGGAGACAAGTCTTCCTGTGATAATCACAGAGGGATTAGCTTGACTAATATGGTATCTAAAGTTCTAGACTTCATAATCATGTGTAGGCTAAGCAGTGTCCGGGAGGCACAAACGCGAGAGAACCAGGCAGTCTTTAAACCAGGAAGAGGGTGGCTGTATTGATCATATCTTCACCCTTCGAAAGATTCTAGAACATAGGCATATTTACCGGTGTCCAACAATCATTATATTTCTTGATTCTGTTAACCGAGAGATAATCTGGCGATGCTTGGCTGTAAAGGGAATGCCGAGAAAATGCATTGCGCTGATCAAGGCACTCACTCTACTCTAACTCATGCAGTCAGCCTGGTGAGAGCTTACGGCGAGTTGTCATCTGAAGTGGTGACAATTAGTGGTGTCTGTCAGGGATGCCCACTATCCCCATTTCTATTCAATTTCATCATGGATGTACTAATGAACTTAACCATAACTGGCTGACTTCTAAGACTCAGGGATTGACTTGTTACCAGGGAATAATAGTCTCGTTGACTTAGAATATGCAGATGATATAGTCGTTGTAGATGAAGACGCTGACGAAATACAACAGAGTCTTCTGAACATCTTGAACAGCAGTCTGAGAATGTTCGGCATGCGATTTACTCGTGCTGTCAAATGTCAGATGATGATGCTACAGGACTGGATTACATTGACTAGCTCCTAGCTTAGAGATTGGTAGTGGTCAAGCGGTTGGCGGGGCGTATTGACCACCTCACTTATTTGGGAAGTTGCGTCAGCCAGTACCAACGGGTTGATCGCTGACGAAATCTCAGCACGGATACAGAAGGCTCGCATCGCATATGCTAGCTTACGCCGTCTCTGGCGTAGACGTGATATCTGGCTGGCTATCTACCAAAGAATGTGGGCACTGCTCACCAATCCGTCTTGTCTTCCTTTGTGGCTCTGAGCGAGACATTGCCATTGAAAGTGGAAGACATGAAAGAGAAGGCTAGCTATCTTTGATCCTATGTGCCTGCGTTCTATCTCCCATGTGAAGTGGTATAATAGAGTGAGCAATATTAAGGTTAGGCGTCGATTGTTAGAATAGGGCAGTCAATCGATGAAGTTGTCAAGTTATATCGATTGGGATGGTTAGGACGTATGTTACACATGCATCTTAGCCATCGCCTTCGTCGACATTAGGCAGTGTTAGCTGACATAGGATCGATCAGGCTGTGAGACCTGACCATTAGGAGTGGAAGACATGAAGGTGTAGACTCCCTGGTTGGGATCGTCGAAACGGTAAAAACTGATGGCTGGAGACAATTGGTGATATGGCTCAAAATCCTCGTTCTCAATGGTTGGCGCAGATGCATCCATTCCTTGTGACTTATAATTTCCAATGAAACTATATTGTTCTTCGATATTACTATTCTTTTTGCCTTATATCTCTGTTTACTGTCTCTATTTCGCACTTTCACTATCTTCTCTATCTTTGTGTGCTACATGGAGGGAGTGTGGCGTCTTGAACTGCCGCACATCGGTGCGAAGTTCTATGTTGAAACCAGTCAGTTAGTCAGAAGAGCCCAAATAGCTCAGTGATAGCGTCTCTGACTTCAGCACTTGATGACGTGCGAGTTTGAGTCCACGAATACGCCTTGCTGATGAGGGCCAAAACGCAGGAAGTCTAGGTCCAGGGATTCCTGTGGACTATCCATTCATCGTGCATTTATTATATGATTTCTTGATTACCTTTATCCGTTGCTTATCTTCTATGTATTTCTCATCTGTTACTATATTCTCTTCCCGCTGTTGTTTTAATTTCTTTTTTTCTCGTCTACAGACTTTTAGTTTCTGCATATATTCAGAAAAAGGCAGCATATTTTGTAAATTTTATCGATGAAGGGAAGACGATTAATCAGTTCTGTGAAACGGTATGTTAAGTTTTTTTTAAATGTATATATATCTTTTTATTTATTCCAATCATTACGTTTTATTATTATTATTATTAAGGCTTGCAATTGTACCAATATGATAGGGAAGATTTGTAGCTCAGGTGGATGATTTTGATGTGGTTGTGTTCTCTGAGCTGGATAGTTAATTTGAGAAGCTTTCATAGCCCTACTAGGCGACATCTTCAGCGCATACTTCAATTCGTCGAAGTGAGCTTTTAGATTTCTCCACGAGTTTATTAATCATCTCTCCTGGTGGGTGACCTTGGACGTGATTGGTTGTTTTTGTGTGTTTTCATACCTTCTAGGTTATTTGTATTGTAACTGATTGTTTCTTTGACTTGAACTTTGACCCTCTGTGTGTGAGATTTCCTTCTTATGGATTGATTAATCTTGTCTATGTCAATGTGTCTATTGATTAACGATTCACTGTAGTACCAAGCAGCCTTCTAAAGATTCTCTAGCATTTTTGTTGTTTCCTTTGTCTAATATATGAACGCTGGTTGTCCCAGTATAGTTGATGTCCGTGGTTGTCTGTATGTAGTGATATGAGGGAGTGGATATCATGTCTTTAGACAGCTAGTTTATGTTCGTGGATACGAAGACGAAGGGGACGTCCTCTTTGGCCAGTGTAGTGTTTTTCGCAGTTGATACAATTTATTTTGTATATGATGTTGGTTCCATCTTCTTTCGCTGTTGAGTCTTTTGTTTGACATGGAATTGAGTGAAGTAACTTTGTTGGTTTGTGTACGATGTCAATTCCTAAAGGCTTGAAGAGTTTTGTAGTGATTTCTGAGATGTCCTTTATATATGGTAAGGCGATTTTCTTTGTGCTTTCCTTGAGGGCTTTTGGCTTGATAGGTTGGCTTTGGGGTAGATGTCTTTTGATGAAATTCCGTGGATATCCGTTCTTTTGGAAGAGGGCCATGAGATATCTTTCTTCAGTTTTCCTTCAGGTGGGAGGACAGCGATGAGTCCTGGCCCTCTTGAATTGTGTTTGTATGCAATTCCTCTTGTGTTCTATTGGATTGTTGCTGTTGTAATTCAAGATTTGGTCTGTGTGACCAAATTCTTCACTTCAAATTGAAGTATGCGCTGAAGATGTCACCTAATAGGGCGATGAAAGCTTCGCAAATTAACTATCTAGCTCAGAGAACACAACCACATCAAAATTGTACCAGTGGGTGTCTGTAGTTCAATATTAGAATGTGCTTGCAAGACATGCAGAGGTAGTGTTCAGAGCCGATTCCCGACTGATTCACTCCGAAACCACTTCCCCTACATATGTGTAGGAAGCCTAGAAAAAAGTGAAGATGTAGTGTGCGTGCATCTGGTGACCCCTACTCCCTATCACTTCAAAAACAACATCAATGCTACTGAGGTAATGATGCAACACAGATGTTATTTTCTTTGCAGTAGGATTGTATACTTGACAATACATGCAGAGTCTTCTGAACACCTTGAGCAGCAATCTTCATATGTTTGGCATGCGATTCGCCCCTGTAAAATGTAAGATGCTGCTACAGGACTGGACTACGTAAACTCCTAGCTTAGTGATAGGGAGTGAAGTGATAGAGCATGTTGACCACTTCACTTATTTGGGAAGTTGTATCAGCACCAACAGACTGATTGCCGACTAAATCTCAGCACGGATCCAAAAAGCTCGAGCTGCTTTCGCTAACTTACGCCATCTCTGGCGTAGGCGTGACATCCGGCTATCAACCAAGGGACGTGTGTACTGCTCAACAATTCTCTCCGTCCTTCTCTATGGTGGTGAGACGTGGCCATTGAGAGCGGAAGACATGAAGAGATTGTCTGTTTTTGATCATAGATGTTTACGATCTCTTTCTCGCGTTAGGTGGTATAATAAGGTAAGTAATGTTGACGTTAGGCGTAGAGTGTTGGGCAAAGAGGGAAAATCAATCGACGAGGCTATAAAGTTACATAGATTGAGATGGCTAGGTCCTGTGCTGCGCATGCCTAACCATCGCCTCCCCCGACGGGCATTACTAGCTGATATAGGTGCAGGTTGGAAAAGAGTAAGTGATGGCCAAACAAAAACATGGCCTCATCAATCCATGAAATCCCTGACAGTTAAACTGAGTCAGGTAGGGAGCTGCAGACTTCCGGGTTGGGGCCCTCGTGACTCTAAGAATCAATGGCTGGAGACAATAGGTGACATGGCTCAAAATCGTTGTCACTGGCTTATGCAGATGTATTCAGTCTCTGTAATCTTTCATATTCCTTTCTATCATTACTCATTCTGCTTCACTCTTATACTTATCTAAATTCTATTGATTCTCTTCTCTCATTTTCCTGTCTACCTTTGTGTGCTATTTGGAACGTGGCAACTGAAACTGCTGCACTTCGGTGCCAAGTTCTATGTTGAATCCAGACAGACAGACTAGTTCGTAACTAGTATTATGCCTCTTGTCCTTTGTTTGATGCAGACTGGTACGAGTTGGATCTACTGAAGAGTCGGAAACTAGGTCAACATAAAATCCATAATCTCGATATTTCTGTTTTACCGTCTAATAGATTTTGGAAGGAGCAATTGTCTTCTTTGTTATCGATCGAGTTCCTTATTGGGATTATTAGGCTTTGCAGGAGAACTTCCAATGTTAGATTGTAGCGTGAAAAAAGGAAAGAAGATGGGAAGTTAGACACAGATGTATTGACAGGAAACCCACACACTCAAACAGATATTTAGACTTCCGATCATCCCATCCTATGTCGGTAAAAATAGAATTGGTGAAATGTTTAAGTGGTAGAGCACAAAAACTAAGTAGTACCAAGAAAAATCTAAGACAGGAAGTGAGACATATAAGGGAAGCTTTGAAATTTAATAATTACCCTGATAAATTAGTCAGAAAGTATGTAGGGAAAAGTAAAAATGAAATAAAAAATGATAGTAGTGATAATAATAATAATATTAATGACGACATGCATGTTAAATATGCGCAAGACAACATCAACAATAAGGAATCTAAATCATCAGTAGTACTTCCATACAAGGAAGGAACCTCGGAAACCTTAAGGAGAATTCTTAACAAGGTAGGAATAAAAGTGACTGGCACTCACACCACCCACAAACTAAATTAGAAAAAAGCTTTGTCGGTTAAAGGATCCTGTGGAGCCTTTAAAACAAAACAATTTAGTTTATCAAATACCCCACAATGATTGTCACGTCAAATACATAGGTCAAAGTAGTACAACAGGTCAGTCAGTCAGACTAGCGGAGCATACAAACAGCAAAATCTAGATTAGTTGACCCGATAAGATAAGTTTGGAGAATAGTTCAGCTATAGCACTACATGCAGTTACACACAACTATACAGTAGGATTGATGGGATAAGATGACAGTTTTAAAATCTAATCCAGTCGGACACCTGGAAAATGCTAATACCCCTATGACGATGAATAGGAAAGAATAAAGAAAACTATAAAACTGAAGTTTCGAAGTCGTGTGATTATAATTCATGATATGGTGATGAACAGTAATTGAATTGTGTTGGAAACCTTGTCATCCAGTATGTAATAATACTGTTTCACTCACTGTGTGAACAAACTAATATCGAATTACTTACTACCACAGTGCCCAAGTTTTACACATATATTAATAAAGTTTCTTACTGGATTATTAGGCTTTGCAGGGGAATAGAGTTACCTGTGGATAATCGCTTTCAAATACAGCATTTTGCTGTATATGAAGTTAGCACTAATTGTTTATAACAGAGATTCTCAAGATCCCATATTTCCGTATGGTACAAACAGATAGTGAGTGAGATAGATAGTGTTTTCGAACTCGGTTATACCCCCAGATCATAGATCTTTCCTTATATTACCAAGCTGATGAATCACACTTGTCACGTTTAGGACGATGATATTACCCTGTTGTTTCCCAGGCTGAATTAGGCGGAGTGTTTCTCGAGCCATTCTGGCGTGGGGGTGGGGGTTGGCTATAAAAGACCCCACAACCAAAAATCACATTATATGCCTCAAAGATTCACTAAGGCTTTTCTCATCACTTAAATTTTATTTCGAAGATTTTTTCGGCTACTTATAAAAATTAAGTAGTAATATCAAATTATATAAATTAGAAAACAAGGATTTTGAACGTACAAGTTTGATCACGGATTGATGTCAGTTAGAGAACGATTGAAAACCATCGAGGAGTTGTTCCATCCTAGTTTGGGACACTTTGGCAGTACGCATCCACTGGGTTTAAAACCTGGGACCTCCCGGTTACAAGTCAAGCTCGTGGACCATTCAACCACTGGAATCCGACTCAGTGACCAGCGCATGAATTCTAACTTCTACTAATTCCTGGTTTTAGCACAAGCATCAGCCAGTGTCATTTGTGGCGAGTATTCTTCCTCACTCCCGACTGGATGGACACCGCTGGTCATGAATTCTCACTAGGACCAGGATTTCCAATGGTTCTCTAACTGATATCAATCCGTCGTCAAACTTGAAAAAATAAATCAAATGCCTAAAAATAAACGCGTGAAAATTAATCGGATGCTCTCTAGTGGCTAGTTGCAGGACGAAGTTGCCCGGAGTTCTAGTGGGAATTCATGACTAGTGGAATCCATTCGGTCACCAATGGGGACAAATACTCATCATGGATGACACTGGCTGGTGCTCATGCTAAAACGACAAATTGGTAGAAGCTAGAATTCATGGGCTGGCCACTGAGTCGGATCTAAGAGCTTGCTTTGTAACCGAGAGGTCCTGGGTTCGAACCCTGGCGGTGGGTGTGTACTACCAACGAGTCCCAGACTAGGATGGAACGGCTTTCCAGTACTCCTTTCTGGATTCCAGTGGTTTTCAACCGACATCAAAAGTGGTTGGACGTAAATATTCTTCAAGGAAAGGAGGGGAAGAGAGTCTAACATTTTGGTCAGAATCACAGTTGTATCAGAAAGAGTTCGATGGTATATTAGGTTGCGTAACTAGACTAGTATTTTACTATAGCCAAAAGAGTAAGATGGCTGACGTCTTCCATATTAATTTGTTTATTAGATATATCACACAGTCAGTGAAACAGTATTATTATTTACTGGATGACAAAGTTTCCAACACAATTTACTTATTCTTCATAATCATATCGCCAATTATAATCACACGACTTCGAAACTGGAGTTTTATAGTTTTCTTTGTTTTCTCCTATTTGTCGTCATAGGGATAGTAGAATTTTCCAGGTGTCTGACTGGACATGTTTTGAATCATTTCTATTACACGTTTTTGCAGTTGATTCGATAAATAAAGCCTCCGTTATCAATCTCTCCCTCCACCCTGTTGTTATATTAGATTTTGAAACTGTCATCTTATTCCATCGATCCTATTGTATGGTTGTGTGTAACTGCATGTAGTGAGTGCTATAGCTGCTGAGCTATTCTCTAGATTTCTCATATTATTCGGGTCAACTGATCTAGTCTGACTGCCCATGTTCTACTACTCTGACCTATGTATTTGGCATGACAATCATTGTGGGGTATTAGATAAACTAAATTGTTGTATTTAGTTGGCTCCACAGGATGATTCTTTAACCGACAAAGCTTGTTTCTGATTGAGTTTAAGGGAGGGAGAACCATAGAAAGCCAGCAGGGAACACTGGACAGCCAGCTGTTTCATCTTAGTATGGGAATCATTGGCAGTACGCACCCACTGGGTTTCCAACCCAGCACCTTCCGGTTACAAGGCAAGCTCGTATGCCATTCAGCCACTGTTATTGTCATAATCACTGTATTGCAAACAGTAATAATAATTATACAAAATGGAATTTTTCGCGTTTTTATACTTATTCCACCAATTTAGCTCCTTTTATAAATATGTACATACATAAAATTTAAAATAGTATTAATAATAAAACCACCACTATAAAGAGAATGTTGGTGGAAACATAATGAAGTATAAGTAGACAGTATCATAGATAATACATGTAATAAGAATGATAATCTTTGCTTATTCTCACTTTGCAGTTCAGTTACTGATTTAAGCAGTTTATAAGTTCTTTTCTGACATCGGACTCTCTTTTCACACACAAAACCCGTGCTAAATATGGTGGTGTGGTAGAATTTTTATATTTAGTAGCTGTATGAACATAAATTCTTATGAATTTTCTCCTGGTTTTACCTGAAGAGATACAAGGAGAAAGTTGAGAATAAGTAGAGAGGATGTTCAGTATCAGACAAGATAACTTTAGCCAACTGCTTGCAAGTATTGAAGTGCTTATGGACAATGATGTCAGTTAGCTGAGTCGAAGGCGCACACCACTAACCCTACTTACGATCTTCAGTGTTCCATGTAATATGGCAAAGTCTCTTTTGAGAAGTCCAGGGAAAATAAGTGGGGTGAACAATAAGGAAGGATGGACAGAATACATGAATTAATAGATTATGAGAGAAGAGGTTGATTTATGCCAGCACAAAGTCTCAACTTCTCTATATAGTGAGTCAAACGATCAACAGAGATTTGACGAGAAACTGATGCCGAGATAGGAAATATTCGATTTACTCCCTATCGCAGTGCCGTCAATATTACAGGAATCATGCGGCTGAATCAGTTCACGCAAATCTTGTTCTCATCTGTAACTAAAATCAACAGTGTGACGTTTAGATGGATTAAGTTTAAGACCATTCGTTAACCTTAGATAAGAAACTATTCAATGCAGAAACTACTGGAACAGAAATCGTTGTTCTGTATTAGATGAGGAAACAGGCATAAAATGGACTCACACAAAAAACTTGGAGGATCTGGACTTCGCCGATGACATATGTCTGATTTCCCACAAACTGGAAGATATCCAAGCGAAAAGCAACAAGTTGACAGAAGAAGCATCAAATGTAGGACTTCAGGTGAACATGGAGAAAACAGAGGTGATGAAGATTCCTGGGCAACACCACCAACAGCAACAACAACAGACAACAATCAGCATAAATGGAAGGAACCTGAAAGAAACAACCTCCTTTACCTACCTGGGAAGCATCGTTTCATCTACAGGCGGAACTGACGAGGATATCAAAGAAAGAATCGGAAAAGCAAGACAAGCTTTCACTACTCTCAAGTTCGTGTGGAGGTCAACAACACTCAGCATCAAAATCAGAATAAGATCCGGATTTTCAACTCCAATGTGAAGTCAGTGCTACTATACGGATCAGAGACTTGGTGCGTCATAAAGAGCATCTCAAACAAACTACAGAACTTCATTAACAGCTGTCTTCGCTCAATACTCAAGATCAGATGGCCGGCCAGTAAAGATCAGCAACAGGAAGGGATCTCTGGCAATGAGCGAACCAACCCAGCCGGAACCGATTGTGAAACAAATAGGCAGGAAGAGATAGAGGTGGATTGGCCATACTCTGAGGAAACCATCAAGTGACATCAATAGATAAGCCCTCAAGTGGAACCTGAAAGGGAAGTGACGAGTTGGTCGTCAGTGTAAGGGTGACTTGGAGGGGGTCATGTGAAGAGGAGATGAAAATGTGTGGGCAGACTTGGAGCCAGGTGAAGACTCTAGCAGAGAAGCGAACGCAATGGATACGCACGGCTGAAGCCATATGTTCCTCTAGGAATTAAAGGAAACAATAATAATAATATTAGATAAGGTTCTCTTAAATATCACTTAACGATGAAGTATTAACAACTGGATGACGTAACAGCCAATCAACTCTCTCTTTCTCTCAGACATAAACTTTGTCGCTTTTAGGACCCAATAGATCCAATTAAGAAAAATAATTTACCAAATACCAACCATGTAATGCTGACTGTTAGTGAGGTCAATGACATGGGTCAGTCAAACTAGTAAGTAGATCGGGGTCAGTCAACTAGATTATTGGAACATGGAAATTCTTAGCTAGATGTAGAATGTCTGACCCTTGTAAGATCAATAATCCAGATAAAACCGAGCCAATGCATTGGATTGCAGTCACTTTCATGTAATCACACACCACCATAGGGTGGTGGGGACAGAGTGAGAGTATTTAAGAGTAATATAGTTAGATGGAGACGAGGAGAGGTTAATCACTGAAGCTTTGTTTATCTTTGAGTCAACACCGCCCACAGGCAATTGGAATGACCGCAACGCCTATGATACCGGAGATATGGAGAGGGGGCATCAAACAACAAGGGGAAGATGGAGAGAGGAAAAGAGAGAAAATATACATGCATTGTGAAATGTGTGAATAAAATTGATTGATGATTATGAGTGGCAATAATTTATGCTGGAATCCTTGTCATTCAGTTTTTAATACTGCATCAGTTGTTTCGTCCTTCTGGTACTCTTCAGTGGTACGCACTTATGATCCTACATGGTATCGGACCCGGTACCTTCGGGTTATGAGGGGAGCTCGTTGACTATCCTGCCAGTGGAAAGAAGTCCAATTTCCCAGTGTTGTCCACCCCTCTCGGTGGACCCCGATGGTCATGAATTCCCATTAAAACTTCAGGCAATTTCATCCTATAGTCAGTGACACTATAGTGGGCACTGGATGAATTTCCAAATGTCTGTTCGCCAGAGCTATTTGATCGCTTTTAAGATTGATCAAGAAATTAACGTTTATTCTTTTTTGTTTTTTTCTCTCTCTTTGCCTTTATTTTCAAACACAATACAACACCGACAACAACCAATGCCCCAACAATAGGAAGTTGAACCAATGGCTCGTGAATCAGACAACATTCATGTCGCTGCATTGGCTTTAGCTGTTGAATTGCCTATCTATGTAGAAAATTGTCAACAATCGGGTGAACTGAATCGAATTGAATTTCCTGCACACAGTGATCTAATGAATATGGATGATGGTGATGAACAACAACACGTCTCCGATGTGACTGGTGGTCGTTGTGATGGTGGTTGTGGCGGTGCTGGTCAAGAGGCTTCCAATGATAGTTGTCATTGTCAACACCCTGCTGTTCATCAGGAGAAAGATCATATTATCGACTATAAGACGAATCCTCCAGTCACTCTGTTATACAGACCAGGTCATTATGATATCCTCTATCCTAATTCAAAAAAATAAACACGGCGTGGAAAACCAGAAGAGTTTCGGCAGCGATTTATTTCCTTGGATAACAACAATTGGACTAATGCATGAATGAATTAAGGAAGGAATACTTGAATGTGTTGACTTCGTTTCTCTTTTATTAGATAACTAACCAACTATCTAACTAACTAACTAACTAACTTCTTAATGCTTTACAAAATGAATGACGAATAGGTCTTCAGTTATTATTATTATTATTACCATCATTACTATTTTTTTCTTTCATGTGTGTATGTTTGTTTACCTTTGTTTTCTGCTTTCTTGCCTTCGTCTATACCACCTTTCTCCAACCCTACCCCACACCACTTCACCCCACTTATTATCTTGTTTTTGTGTTTTCATGTGTTATTAATGACCACAGTGATGATGTTGATGATGACGTTGCCTTTTGTTGTTTTGTTCTTTTCCTTTCCAATGATAATTTCCAAATGATTTCGGAATGGTGCTTTTGTCTTTTCTCTTTGCCGTTGTTGTTGTTGTCGTTGCAGTTTTGGAGCTGGGTACACAACTGATTATGAATGGGCCTGGCTTCGTCTAGTACATTTAAGTCAACTTCGATCTGACTAGCAAGCACTTCACTTCCGACCCCTAGATAAGAAATAGGAAGTGAAGTGGTAGAGCACGTTGACCGCTTCACTTACTTGGGAAGTGCCATTAGCCAGTGCCAATGGGTTGATTGCTGACGAAATCACAGTACAGATATAGAAGGCTCGTTTCGCATATGCCAGTTTACGCCGTCTCTGGCGTAGATGTGATATCCGGCTGGATATCGATCAAAAGACGTGTGTACTGCTCAGCAGTCCGCTCCGTCCCCCTGTATGGCTGTGAGCGAGACCTGGACATTGAGAGCGGAAGATATGGAAAGGCTGGCTGCCTTTGATCGTAGGTGCCTGAGTTCTAACTCCTGTGTGAAGTGATGTAATAGGATGAGCAATATTGAGGTAAGGCATCGGTCGAGTGCTAAGTAAGAAGCGGAAATCAATCGACGAGACTGTGAAATTACATCGACTGAGATGGTTAGGACATGTGTTACGTATGCCTAGTCATCGCCTCCTCGACAACGGGCAATGTTAGCTGATATAGAGTCAGACTGGAAAAGAGCTAGCGGTGGTCAAACGAAAACATGGCACCAGTCAATGAAATCCACAACAGTTAGTTGAAGCCAGCCAGTCACGTAAGAAGGTGTAGACTTCCTGGTTGAGGTCCTCGGAACGGTAAAAACCAATGGTTGGAAACAATTGGTGACATGGCTCAAAATCGTTCTCAATGGCAGGCGAAGATGCATCCACTCCTTGTAACTTATGATTTCCAATCAAACTGTTTTGTTCTCCGTTATTACTATTCTTTTGTCTCACACCTCTGTTTACTGTCTATATTATGCACTTCTCCTACTTTCTTCTGTTGCTTTGTGTGCTACAAGGAGAGGGGAGTGTGGCGACTTGAACTGCCGCACATATATGCAAAGTTCTATGTCGAATACAGACAGACAGACAGTTTTGGAGTTGGGTACACAACTGATTATGAATGGGCTTGGCTCCTTCTAGTACATTTAAGTCAACTTCGATCTGACTAGCAAGCATTACATTACTGCTACTGCGCGTAGTAGTGGTGGCGGTGATGGTTGATGTGTATGGTGTTATCTAACTACTTATATTAATCGGTTAGAAGTAGTATATAGTATCATGAATTTATGCTGACTTTATTGATTGCTGTCTATGGTATCAAGAAGACCACATATGCTGTGTGTGTCTGTGTAATTTCCCAATTGCCTGCCCGAGCGTCCGTGTGTGAGTGTGTGTGAATTGCTCTGCATCCACCTGTCCATCGACAGACCTCCCACTTCCACTCGTCAACATGCACACACGCACACGCACAGAGGGAGAGAGTGGCACGCACGCACGCACAAAGACAGAGATATAGGTGTGCAGATAGTGGGTGGTTGTCTGTGAGAGTGACAGCGACACAGATGGAGACAGACACGTGGACCCGGACTGACCCAGTCACGCGTCCACTCACCCACACAAATGTGTGGTCCGCTAGTCTGAGGAATGCAGCTGAGTGCAGAGTGTTGACCGGTAATAGTGTTGTCGGCTTCGAAGTCCTCCTGATGACTACTCGTAGGCAACCTGTGCATCGGGAATTGTGACTGTGACTGTGTAGGTAGGTATCACGCACGGGTGGGAGTTGTTGGTGTCGTCGCGATTGTCGTTTGACGAGGATGGATGGAGACGTGTGTTGATGACATCATGTGTATGATGAGCGAGTGTAGATGTATTTGTGATGTGTGTGAGTGTGGGTGTGTGATTGTTGAATAATCAATTATTTGTTTGTCGATGAGATGATGATTTGCGAGTGGATTAAGTGTGTGTGTGTGTGTGTGTGTGTGTGTGTGGTGGGTAGAGTGAGTTAGTGTTGTTGTGTCGGTGTCGTCCCGCGTGGTCTAGTGGTTAGGATTCACCCAGGCGGCCCGGGTTCGATTCCCGGCGCGGGAGCGCTTTTAGCTGATCACCCCCCGTCCAGACACACAACACGCTCAACACTAATCCCATCAAAACAAAACATCAGCTCATCAGCGTCACACGTGTCAGTCAGTCGTCTCAGGTGACGCTGTGTCAAATCAATCCATCAATGCTGATTTGATTGTCAATTCCCGACGAGTCAGTCGACCACACAACCAACCAACCAACCAACACTCCACTATCGCTGCACAAAAGATGCACAGGCTGACAGACACACAGACAGTCAGCCAGACAGATTTCCGCTGATGTCGAAGTGAACATGTTGAGTGGAATGACGTGTGAGTTTGTGCACCGACAGATGAATCGTGCTTGAGGAGACTGTGTTTGACGGAGTGATGAGATAGGTAGATAGATCTAATAGTGTCGATTGTTGAGGGTGATGTGAGTGGTGAGGCGGAGAGAGGGAGAGGGGTGATTTCGTCAGTGACTCACCGGCTGACTGACTGACTGAGTGTGAATGGCGCTGAGTGAGTGACAGAGTGAGGTGGGGTGTTGGTTGGTAGTTGGGTTTGTTGTTTGGTGGGTGAGTGGGTGGGTGAGAGTGGTGTTGGAGGTGGGGATGTCTCTGAGGGTAGTGATTGATGGTGAAGAGTGAGTGAGTGAGGTGGACTTCTGTGTGGACTGTAGGTTGTAGTGAATTGTGTGCATGTGTGTACGTGTGCACGTGTGTTAGTGTTAGTGGAGGCGTTGATGTTTATTTGGTGTTGTGTTGGGAGGCGAAAGTAGTGGATGGCTGGGCATATGGATTGGCGTGATGAGTGAGTAGCAGTCCAGTGGAGGCCGGAATAGCTCAGCAGGGAGAGCGTTAGACTGAAGATCTAAATGTCCCCGGTTCGATCCCGGGTTCCGGCATGTGGATGAGCATTTTCGTCGTCCCGTGACACACAACACCAAACTCAGACACATAAGTGTCCCAGTCGAAGAACCAGTCAGTCACAAGCACTCTCTGCCTCTCACTGACCACGCGTCGCTTAGCACAACACACCCAACCTGTGAAGATTCACTCACTCACTCACTGACTCACTCACTCACTCCGTCCGTCACCAGGTTCTTTGTCACACAGATTATCTATCAGCGAATCGGTCGGTCGGTCGGTCGGTCAGTGTGTTGGCTTAGTGCTCTCTGTTTTCTCTCTCTCTCTCTCTCTCTGTCAGACTGTTTGACGCCGTCTGTGTCTGTCCGAGTGTCGGTGTGTGAGTGTGTGTGTATATGTGTGTGTGTGTGTGTGAATTGCTCTGCATCCACCTGTCCATCGACAGACCTCCCACTTCCACTCGTCAACATGCACACACGCACACGTACACGCACACGCACAGAGGGAGAGAGTGGCACGTACGCACGCATGCACGCACGCACAAAGACAGAGATATAGGTGTGCAGATAGTGGGTGGTTGTCTGTGAGAGTGACAGCGACACAGACGAAGACAGACACGTGGACCCGCACTGACCCAGCCACGCGTTCACTCACCCACACAAATGTGTGGTCCGCTAGTCTGAGGAATGCAGCTGAGTGCAGAGTGTTGACCGGTAATAGTGTTGTCGGCTTCGAAGTCCTCCTGATGACTACTCGTAGGCAACCTGTGCATCGGGAATTGTGACTGTGACTGTGTAGGTAGGTATCACGCATGGGTGGGAGTTGTTGGTGTCGTCGCGATTGTCGTTTGACGAGGATGGATGGAGACGTGTGTTGACGACATCATGTGTATGATGAGCGAGTGTAGTTGTATTTGTGATGTGTGTGAATGTTGAATAATTAATTATTTGTTTGTCGATGAGATGATGATTTGCGAGTGGATTAAGTGTGTGTGTGTGTGTGTGTGTGTGTGTGTGGTGGGTAGAGTGAGTTAGTGTTGTTGTGTCGGTGTCGTCCCGCGTGGTCTAGTGGTTAGGATTCCTGGCTTTCACCCAGGCGGCCCGGGTTCGATTCCCGGCGCGGGAGCGCTTTTAGCTGATCACCCCCCGTCCAGACACACAACACGCTCAACACTAATCCCATCAAAACAAAACATCAGCGTCACACGTGTCAGCCAGTCGTTTCAGGTGACGCTGTGTCAAATCAATCCATCAATGCTGATTTGATTGTCAATTCCCGACGAGTCAGTCGACCACACAACCAACCAACCAACCAACACTCCACTATCGCTGCACAAAAGATGCACAGGCTGACAGACACACAGACAGTCAGCCAGACAGATTTCCGCTGATGTCGAAGTGAACATGTTGAGTGGAATGACGTGTGAGTTTGTGCACCGACAGATGAATCGTGCTTGAGGAGACTGTGTTTGACGGAGTGATGAGATAGGTAGATAGATCTAATAGTGTCGATTGTTGAGGGTGATGTGAGTGGTGAGGCGGAGAGAGGGAGAGGGGTGATTTCGTCAGTGACTCACCGGCTGACTGACTGACTGAGTGTGAATGGCGCTGAGTGAGTGACAGAGTGAGGTGGGGTGTTGGTTGGTAGTTGGGTTTGTTGTTTGGTGGGTGAGTGGGTGGGTGAGAGTGGTGTTGGAGGTGGGGATGTCTCTGAGGGTAGTGATTGATGGTGAAGAGTGAGTGAGTGAGGTGGACTTCTGTGTGGACTGTAGGTTGTAGTGAATTGTGTGCATGTGTGTACGTGTGCACGTGTGTTAGTGTTAGTGTTATTGGATGTGTTGATGTTTATTTGGTGTTGTGTTGGGAGGCGAAAGTAGTGGATGGCTGGGCATATGGATTGGCGTGATGAGTGAGTAGCAGTCCAGTGGAGGCCGGAATAGCTCAGCAGGGAGAGCGTTAGACTGAAGATCTAAATGTCCCCGGTTCGATCCCGGGTTCCGGCATGTGGATGAGCATTTTCGTCGTCCCGTGACACACAACACCAAACTCAGACACATAAGTGTCCCAGTCGAAGAACCAGTCAGTCACAAGCACTCTCTGCCTC